AGTCTCACTCTGTCGCCCAGAGTAGAGTGCAATGGCCGCTCCCAGCCACCACAGCCTCGACCTGCTGGGTTCCGGCGATCCTCTGCCTCAACCTTCCAAGTAGCTAGAACTACAGGCACGTGCTACCACACCCGGCTAATTTTTTGATGTGTTGTAGAGATGAGATCTCACCAAGTTGCCCTGGCGGGTCTCGAACCCGCAGGCTCAGGCAATCCACTCACCTCAGCCTCCCAAGGCACGGGATTACGTGCTGAGCCACCGAGCCCGGCTCCACCTTGTTCTTGTGCTGTGTTCAGATACACTGGACAAGAGCGCAGGACACTCTCCGTTCCCGTTCCTCGTGGAGATGCCTCTCTGCTTCATCCACCACGCAAAAGGAACTGCTCAGAGCTGTTGTCCATCCCAGGCTCTTTTTCCCAGCCCTAAGACTCACCGCCTGCGGGCCTGTCCCTGCCACCACCCAGCCTCATTAGAGTCACTCCTCAGGAGGAACTGAGGTTTCCCGAAGCCCCGCATGGCCCTGCCTCAGCAGATTTACACCGGACCTTGCTCACCTGCAGCCACCGTCTGGCTTTGCCTAGTATCTCCCCTAGCCCAGGGCCTTCCAAAGAGCAGACACTCAGATGGATGTTGAGGGAAGGGATGAGCCAGTGAGCAGCAACGTTTTATTCAGATTTAGTTCCTCCTACAATCTTGAATAAGCCAAACAAACCCAGGTGTACACCTCTACTGCAATGTTTTTAAACAACAAAAGGGATAAGCAGCCAAGAAACAATTGACTGTTGGTTGCTCTACTTTGCGAATCTTTAAATCGAAATGCAAAGTCACTTCACAATTTTTAAAAATCACCTATTCTGATACAATGATATCACTCCAAATTACAGAAACACGTGGAAGGTTTTCCACTGTGTTTTACAAAACAGCAAAGTCTTACATTTGAAATGGGTAAGCAAAGATACAGCGGCCATCAACATCATCCATCAACTCAGATATTGATGCGGATTACATTTTCCACTGAAACAAAACAATTTTTGAAAATTAGCTCAAGAAGACAAAGAGACATCCTCAATCGAGCAGGGAACCAAAGATGATGGACACAGTGCTTTCCTCGAGCCACCGTGGCGCTCCACCCCTTAGAACGCAAACTGATCTCTTCAAACACAGGATGGAGAAGGGGACCCTTCACACAGGGACAGAGAAACCGGTGGTGGACGTGGCCCTGGGACATGCCCTGGCCCTGGCCCTGCCCCTGGCCCTGCTCAGAACTCCTGCTCAGCCTCCCTCTCCCTCTCAGCTCTGAGCGCCTCTTCATACAGGGACGGGTAGGAAGCGGCATCTCTCCCACTGACCTTGGCCACGTGCTCCAGGACCTTCATTTTGCTGGTTTCAGCATGGGCCCTGGGACCCCACAGGAACTCGTAGCGTGCGGGGTCGCTGCCGGGCACCCGCCGGTACTCCAGGTAGGCTTCCTGCACCCAATCCTGGGTGAGGAGCTTCCTGGGCTCCCCATACATGCAGTGCTCCCTCCCCGGCCACACCCCCAGCACACTCAGCGATTCCCACATGATCTCCTCAGAGGCGCAGTCGCCCGCCATGAAGATCGTGCCCAGGACGGTAATCAGGAGACCGGTCTTGGGCTTGCTCTGGTCATCCCCCAGCATGCCATCGTAGGAGAGGCCCAGGGAGGGGGCCAGGACGTAGGAGTGGCCGGTGGGGTCCGCTTCCTTCACCTCGATGCCAAACACCAGCCGCATGCACTCGGAGGCTTCTTCGAAGATGGCCGGGAAGTGCTCCTCCTCACTCTTGATGACAGCACTCAGCATCTCTGCCTTTGTGAGCGGCTCCTTGTTCCGGTACTTGTGGAGCAGGAAATAGACCAGATGAGCTATCTTCTCACCTAGGGTCTCTTGGAGCAAAGACCCAGGGCCGGCTGGGTCGGGCCCCTCCTCTTCACTGCAGGAGCTTTCATCAGATTGGCTGCACAGAATGAAGGCTATGGTGCTGAGCAAGGAGCTGGCTTCCTGAGGACTCGGGGACCCAGCCGCAAGCACCTCGTCCGCGGTGCCCGGGATCAGAGCAGGGGCGGCAGAGAGGGAGGCGGTGCCAGCCTCTTCCTCCTCAGCTGCGGGAGCCTGCCCAGCCGCTGGGCCCGGCGCCTCTCCTTGGGCCTGAAGGGCTTCCTCAAGCTCGCGGTGCTGACTCCTCTCCCCACGACGCATGATGACTCTGGTCAGGTCGAGTGGCGGGAGTGTGGGCGGAAGCAGCGGGATGATGGGGACCCACGAGCCTGGGGAGAGAGGGAGCATGTGAGTGGCCTTCGGTGAGACTCAAACGCTGCAGGTTCTTTGAAAGGCCGAGTTACAGGTTTTTCCTGAGGTGCTGCAGCCGGCTGGCAGAACTGAGGCTCCAGGGTTGCCAGGAGGGCAGGTGGGCCGCAGAGCTGTGGGGCTCCCTGTGTTCTAGGGTGGCTGGGGCCCTGGGTACACATCCAGGGCGAGCACCTCGCCTTCACTTTTGGCGCTGCCGGGGGGCCCCTCTGCTCTGTGACCCGAGGCCACTGCCTCGTCCCAAGCCCTCACCTCACCCTGGAAGAGCAATTGAAGGCCAACAGGCTGCACACTGTAAGCACAGCCCGGGACCCCCCAGAGCTTTCGGGAGGGTGCGCCTGACTCTGTGAGGTCCCTGTTCTTCTTGGGGAGTGGATGGTTCCCTCCATGCTTACTCGGAGGGAGCTGGCAGCGATACTCTGGCAGGCCACTGGCCCGCCCCACTGCCGGCCTGAGGAACTCTCAGAACAAGAGCTCACGTCCCCGGTAGGGCACGGAAGGCAGTGAGGGGCTCCACATCTGGCCACAGCTGCCCAGGGCCTCCACTCTGCCCAGCCAGAATTGTCCAAGTTCAGCTGGGCCCTGTGCACCGGGGTGAGGGGTCTCTGGGGTCCTCTCCTTGATGCCTTGCGGGGCCGGGGACCGGCCCCTCTATCGAGCGGAGGCCACCTTCTGAAATCAAGGCCCTATCTCCGGGAGACACCAGAGGAGACAGACAGGGGAGTCTATCCATCCACCACCATCCCGTGCGACTTGCCACCGCTGAGACGAGGAACAGAGCTGGGCTGGGTCCTGTGCATTCAGCGACTGGGGTCCCCTCGGTCCTCACCTTGACTCCCGGCAGGACCTGGGCCCCTCCCTCTGCTGACCTTAGTGCAGCCCCCTCACACCCAGATTCCCACCTCCCTGAGTCCCCCGAGGAGAAAATGGGAACCGCCTCCCTTTCCCCCCAGTCCTTCCCTTGGCCTCCCAGGGCTGGCAGTAGGGGCCGGATTCCTGTGTCTGGGATGGGGAGTCTGCCGGTCCTCCAGGGACGCCTCCCTCTGGCCACCTGAGACCCCACTCGGCAGACCACAGCTCTCTCCTTCCTGAAGCCTCGAACGCAGAAGCAAGGATGTCCACAGGCGGCCACTCTGCCTGGAGCCTCCTAGGGCCGAGGTCCCCCGTGTTCTGGAATCTAACGTGCCCCCATGCCTGTCGTCCTCCTCCATCCTCTCTTGACTCCCGTCAGGGCCTGGGCCCCAGCCCTCAGCTGATCCGAGTCATCATCCCTCAGATTCTGGACCCGAGTTAGGGGCCTCGGGCCGATGCCGGGGCGGGACTGGACTCTCTCTGTCCCGGGTCCAGGGTCCCCTCGGCCTCGCTCAGACCAAGCCAGGCTCCGGGCCGGGCCTGGGCCCCTCCCTCTGCTCCCCCGAGGCTGCGCTCCCGATTCCAGGCGTCTACCCTCCACGGGCATGGCCACAGCGCACCGGCCTCCCAGGCTGATGGCAGGGGCAGGCATCAGTGGGGACCCCTCGTTCCCGTTCGGGGGTCTGAGGACGCCTCCCTCGTCTCTCCGTCTTCACCTGGGTGCCGGGTGGAGCTCGAGTCCCCCCTTTCAGACCGAGGCCTCACTGCACTCCGACTCCCGAGGCGGAAGTCAGTCGACGTCACATCCGCGCGCCACACGCGGGGCGTCCCACGGCTCCTGCAGGGTCAGAGACGGACTCTGCGGGCCCCACGCTCCGGTCAGGGTGGGTCCCCGCAGTCGTCCCTCGGGGTTCTGACCCCGATGCCTGGCCGGGTCGGGACCTCGGCCCGCTCTGCACTGGAGTCCACCCCATCACACCCAGCCCCGACTCCCAGGGAGCCCCGAGGCGTAAGGGGGGAGGGGCCCAGCCAGACAAGTCTGCCCCCCCCACGGCGGCCCTGGGCTGACACCAGGGCCAAAGCTGGATCCCTGGGGTCCCTTAGCTGCGGTTGGCGCTTCCTCGGAGCTCTTTAGCGTCTCACCTGACTCCTAACAGAGCCTGGGCTCCTGCCCTCAGCTGCTCTGAAGCCGGGACTCAGATCCAGGCTGGTCTTCTCTCCGACCCCCAGGCGGAAGTCAGTGGACGTCACTTCCTGCAACTCGCAGGGGCTTCCCAGGCCCGAAGCCAGGGGCGGAACGGGATCCCGCTGGGGGTGGGGCCGTGTTTGGAGTGCGTGGCGGGGGACCCTCGGTCCCTTCTCAGTCGACCTCCTGACCTGGGGCCTGGCAAAGCCTGGCCACCTGTCCTCTGCTGCCGACCAGTGTCTGCTCCCTGGGACCCAGGCTCTACCTCCCTTAGACCCAGGCTCCTCTACCGACCCCCCTGTGCCTCAGGGGAGCCTGGGAGTCAGAGCTGGGTGCGAAGGGGTAGACTCGTGCACTCAGCGGGCGGAGGTCCCGACCCCGCCAGGCACCGGGGTCAGGACCCCGAGGGACAACTGCGGGGACCGCCCTGACCGGAAGTGGGGCCCACAGAGTCCGTCGCTGTCCCTGCTGTAACCATGGGACACCCCGAGCGTGGAGGGCGGATGTGACGCCGTTGGACCCTCCCAGGGTGGCGGGCGGGCCGTGCGGAGATGGACGACGCTCCGGGGTCTTCCAGGCCCGGCAGCAGGGGCCGCGCGCGAGTCCGGGGGCCCGGCCGTCGCGGCGTGTGTGGATGGTGGGTCCTCCCTCGGGCGGGTTCTCGTCTTGGCTCCCGGCCCTTTGGTTTCGTGGTGGGCGGGAGATGCCCCCTCCCTGCCGCCTCCTAGCCTCGCTTAACCTTGCAGAGAGTGGCTGCGGGTCCCGCCAGATGCTCCACGGGGGGCCGCGGCGCCATGGCGGTTGCGGCCCGTGGGAGGCGGCGCGCCCCTTCCGGTGTGGGCTCTTCCCAGCCTGGGGCGTCGTTTCGAGGAACCCTTCCTCCTGGGCTGCTGCATCCATTCCCGCACTCAGCACAAGCGGGGGCTTTGGGGAAGCCCTGCTCTCTGAAGGTATCTAACATTCCACGGTAGCGTTTAGTGATTTTTTCGTATGTTGATCCTCACTCGTGTGGCAAGAAATGTAATTCACTTCTCTGCCGGTTTTATGCGTTGGTTTTACATATAGTGTACATGGATAGCTGGGCGCGGTAGCTCACGCCTATAATCCCAGCACTTTGGGAGGCAGAGGCGGGAGGATTGCTTGAGCCCAGGGTTTTGGGACCAGCCCGGGCAACGTGGTGAGACCTCGCCTCTGCAATAAACCAGACAAACAACCTCGCCTCTACAATAAACCAACCAAACAAACAAACAGAATCACCGGCTGGGTTGGTGCACACCTGTGGTTCCAGCTACTCGGAAGGCGGAGGCAGAAGGATTGCCTGGGCCCATCAGGTCGAGGCTGCAGTGGTCATGAGCGTGCCGCTGCTCGCCAGCCTGGGCGACCGAGTGAGACTCCGACTCTAACAGAAAGAAAAACACATAGATAATACATACATTTGTTTATCTACCTCAGCGTGTATGGGTGTATGTGTATGTTGTATGCGTGATTGTAAGTATTTAGTGTCTGTGTGGGTGTGTTTTGAGTCAGGTTCTCAGTCTGTCACCCAGGCTGGAGTGCAGTGACACAACCAGGGCTCACCACAGCCTCCACCTCTGGACTTAGGCAATCCTTATGCCTCAGGCTCCTGAGCAGCTGGGACTACAGGCACAAACCACCATGCCCAGCGAACTTTGTGACTTTTTTGTCCAAGCAAGGTCTCCGTGTTGCCTAGGCTGGTCTTGAACGCCTGGGATCGGGCAGTTCTCCCACTCAGCCTCCCAAAGCGCTGGGATTGCAGGCGTGAGACACGGCGCCTGGCCTATTTTTAATGTATATGAGTCCCCCCCCCCCGAAAAAAGAATTTGTTCTTCAAAACTGTGTCTTTATTCTTAGAGGTTTAAACTTCAGTCATCTTCAAAGGACCCTCCGTTTGACGCAAGACACCTGTCAACAAGCTTTCTCCAGTGCTCATAACAGCTTTTGAATTTGTCGATTTTGATGTCTTTTCGTACTTCTGCTGTTTTTTGTTTCCCCTCTTCCACAGTGGCAAGATGTTTCCCTTTGAGGACTTTTTTCTTCCGGGGAAACAGACAAAAGGCCGCCGGGGCAAGATCCAGTGAATAGGGAGAGTGGGGCCCGGGGATCCTGCCACTTGGGGCCAACGACTGCTGAACACCCGACGTGGTGTCAGCCGGTGAGCTCATAACTCACCCATCATGAAGTGGGCAAACCCTTGAAGTAATTTCCACAAAAAATTCGCTAAAGCCAAATACAGCTTCTCACAACGCTGACTGGCCCACTGTCGCTGATGGGCTCCTGGAACACTTACCCAGCGGGGGAAGTCTGAACTACAAGGCGCCCGCCCTCCAAAAGGTCATTCTGTTTTGGAGGGGTTCCCTCCCATATATTTGCACATGTGTATGTTTAGACTATATATATATATATATACACATATACATATACATACATATATATATATATACTTTTAAACAATCTCTACTCATGCTATGTGTGATTCACGCATAACTATCTCGTTTCTAGTTCGCTATTTCTATTCTATTCAAATAATAATTCCTGGAAGGCCCGTCCTCACCCACTAACTTGGTTTCAGGTGGATATTAGCAGGACTAGCCAGAGTGTCCCAATCAAACCACATTCCCTGCTGTCCTGAGATCACAGGGCTGCTAGGCTTGTGCTGTGCCATGCTGCCTCTGCCTGTGCTGTGCCATGCTGCCTCTGCCTGTGCGAAGAAGTGGGGTGGAAGGTGAAACACTCTCCTCCTTCCTATCTTTTCATCTGCCCTCCATCAGGCTGCAGACCTGCCCAAGTTCCGTGCTGCTCCCCCGGCCGCACACACAAGGACCCGTTCAGCAGGGACCTTCGGTCTCCCGCAGGCTTTCTCTGT